ATTAGTTTTTGATGTAGTGTTCCATGATTCATTGTGCATAACACCCAGTGCTCCACGCAGAATATGCCCTCTTTAATACACATCACCAGGCTAACCCATCCCCCCACCTCCCTCCCCTCTAGAACCCTCAGTTTGTTTTTCAGAGTCCATCGTCTCTCATGGTTCATCTCCCCCTCTGACTTACTCTATATTTATTTTTTTAGCAAGCAGAATCCTAAGAACATTTGGGGGGCTCAAGGTAGGGGGTTTCTGTAACAGGCTAAGCAGTCATGTGCATGGTCTGGTTTGTGGCTTGGAATTCTCAGCGGAGTGGACTTGAGGGGAGAGGCTGAGGAGAGGAGCCTGGTTAGGAGCCTGATGTTGCTGTCTTAGTCAGGGATACTGAGACCCAACCTGGGGCACTGTCATTAGCTGGGGTAGAGAATGGGGCCAATTTTAGGAAAAGTTTGTCAGCCTCTGTGACTGTGTCAGAAGATGGAGAGAGCAGGAAAGTGAGGCAGACAGAATGGCAGAATAAGTTCCAGAATTTTGGCTTCATGAAAGAGGTAAATGTCAATGCAGTTCATTCAGAGGCGAGGGAGACTCCACAGTGTGACTGGAAATACAGTGAGTTCATTTGGGGACATGCAGTTAGCCAGTGAGTGTTATATCTTGGGGCGTGGGGAGTAATTAAAAAGCAAAGGTGTGAAATATAGCATCAGATGGACCTGTTAAGCAATAATGTATTGCCAAACTGATGAAAAGTCATTATCCTTAAATAATGGCCTGCATCTGAAAGTTAATTATTACAGGGTGAGATTATGGGTGCCTCATGCAGAAAAGGTCAATCATCTTATACCCATTTAAAATGTATTATGAATAATTCACAGGTAAAAGTTGGCTGTAAAACATGTTAAAAATAAAGGTGGGGAAAACATTGAATTCAGTGGTAATGTATTTTGATAATAGCAGATAGATAATTATACATGGATGATGTTCATACTTAGGATATCAAGAATTGCTCAATAGAATGAAGACGTTCAACACATGCCACTATCCTGCTCCTGGTAATTGTGATATTATTGTTCTTAGTACGATCACTATTTTCATTTTGCATTTGACCACATACAGCACAGTAACCATTTATCAAGCATTTATTCTTTGCCCGGCTTTATGGCTTTATGTTAACTCCCAGGGATATAATGGTTAGTAACCCAAGAGTACTGCTACTCAGGAGCTCATCTAGGGGCACCTAGGTGGCTCAGTCTGCCTTTGGTGTCTGCCTTTGGCATCTACCTTTGGCTCAGGTCATGATCCCAGGGTCCTGGGATCAAGCCCCGCATCGGGGGTCCCTGGTCAGCAGGAGGCCTGCTTCTCCCTCTCCCACTCGCCCTGCTTGTGTTCCTGCTCTCACTGTCTCTCTCTCTGTCAAATAAATAAATAAAATCTTTAAGAAAAAAAAGAAACTCAGTTAATAGAGGAGATAAATCAGTAAACAAATAATTTTAAATAAAATAATCATTGTTGGGATAGAGGTAGAGAGGCCTGGCCTTGGGAATGGTTTCTTGAGTGAGATTAGATCCAAAGAATGTCTTGAAGGACCAGTGCGAATTAGGCAAGATAAGATAAACACAGAGGATGCTGTGTCTGGGGAGTGAAGCTGAGCCAACAGCATAGGCTCTGCAGTATGAAACAGCATTGTGCATAGACATATGTGCATGTATGTATGTGTTTGGGTGTGTGTGTATGTGTATGTGTGTATATATACATATGTGTTTATATGTGCCATGTGTATATGTCTATGCGTGCATGCATATGTGTTTATGTGTGCCATGTATATGCATATATGTGTGTATGCATGTGTGTCTATGTGTACCATGTGTATGTGTCTATGTGTATGTATGCATATGTGTTTCCTGTGTACCATGTGTATGTGTATATGTGTGTATATGCATATGTGTTTGTGTGTACCATGTGTATGTGTCTATGTGCATGTGTGCATATGTTTTATGTGTGCCATGTGTGTATGTTTGTATATGTGTGTATATATGCATATGTGTTTATGTGTACCATGTGTATGTGTATATGTATGTGTGGTGTTTAGGGCAGTCGAACCAGAGGTAGCTGGTTTATCTCTTAGAGTATAGGTCAAAAGGCAGTCAGTCTCGATTTACAACCTCCATGGTGTTTTCTTTTCTCATTTCAATTGATTTTGCTCTGAGTGCTAACCCAGAGATTTCTATATCAAATAAAATTAAAATTATTGTTTCTTTTTATTTCTATTCTGCCTGCTTGTGCCCAGGGTAGGATGATGAATCCTCACACTTGTGGGAGTGAGGGAGAGACATGGAAGAGAGCCTAGAAAGGGAAGTTCTCCTGTCCTCCCTTCCCTCTCCCTCTTTTTATTACTCTTCCCTCTTTGGAAAAATTATTTATAATGAATGAATACATGTTACTTATATAACTTGAGAAGAAGTAAGAGATGCTTTTAAAACATGTTTAAAAACTTTATATTTAGCACTAATATGAATTCTTGCTTGGAGCTTAAAAAAATAACACACACACAGCAGTTTCTACATGTTTAAAATGTATTAAGTGTCCATACAGGGTTCCTTATTGAAGTTAAAAATACTTTAATTCTTGAAGGTCAAATTAATTCTTTGGATTTGTTTAAAATGAAGCTTTATTCCAGCAATCTTACTACACACTTTGTATTTCATATTTTTTCATGTACTCTTCCTTGTGCATTGTTCCTCCTTTACACCAAAGTCTCCTGAAGCAGATTTCCCCCTCACTAAGCATCATGAATAAACAAAAATGTTGAAATGTGTTTTTTTCCCAAGTGGTCATCAGTTCCCGCCTGCAGTACTTTAATTGCCTTCAAACAGATACCTCTGTTTCTTGTTTCTTGTTCACCAATTTCTGTTCTACACTGTTGCTTAAAATTCTTACCATTCTGAAATCCTGCCTCAGATCACCTTTGCCTACAGGGTGAATGCAGGATATCTTTGCATGTCACTCAAGGCCTCTGTGGCTGTTCCCTGCTGGGCCCTTCCAGCCCCTTCCCTACCTTTTGTAGGCATTCCCCTCTGGGCAATCAAGCCCTTCCTGCCTCCTCCCATTTCTACCCTGTTCTTTCTGACTAGGACACCCTACATCTGGTCCATCATGTCAACCTCTCTTTATTCATTAAGATTTTATTCTCATATTATCTCTTCCTTAAAGCCTTCCTTTGCATCTCCTGGCAGAATCCCCCTCAGTGTGCCCCCATGGTTCTTTGATCACTCACTTTTCTAGTCTAGAATGTATTATGTTGCTGAAATTGTTTTCTTTCAGCTGCTTCTTTCTCATATCATGTGAACTTGAAGAAGGAGACATATCTGTCTCTATCTGTGTCTCTGGCATTCTAGCACAGTGACTGGCACTTACTGAAAACCGAGTGAATAAGATGGATTATTCCTTTCCATACACTCAGTGGTCCTACTTTTCTTCAGTTAGACCATGAAATTCTGTGACCTGATGCCTCTGCACACACCATTATCTTATGGTAAATTATGTGATAAATGTGGTAAGTACTGTAGTAGTAAGTTGTTTGTAAAGGTGACTGCTGACAATCTCTCATTCCTGTATGTGCTCTTCGTACAAGGAGACGGAACCTATTTCCCTTCCCCATGAGTTTAAGCTATCTTGTTGTTATGACTTGCTTTGGCCACATAATTAACTCTGTGCCAATTTTCTGCCCTGGTACCAGAAAGCCTAACAGTTTTTATTTTTGTACTTTTGGAAATCTGTCTAACTTCCATGTAAAGAAGATCTGTTCCTTTCTTTTCTCATACAGCCTTATTGGATGGAAGAGGCTGTATGAGAAAAGAAAGGAACAGAAACTCTCCAGCTGTTCCAACCAGTCCAGTTGAGGCACCAGACATGTAAGTGAAGATTTGGGGCATGCCCCAGCCCAAGCCAAGTTCTCCAATTAATATGGTCACAACCAATATCACATGGAAAGAATAATAGCCCAGAAAATTGTGAAAAATTATAAATTGTTTTCCACAAAGGGTGAACAAACTGTAGCCCATGTGGCCCACTGCTTGTTTTCTTTTAATAAAGATTTATTGGAACACAGACATGCATATTTGTTTATATGTTAACTATTGCTGCTTTTGCTACCAGGACAGAATTGAGTAGTTGTGACTGAGACCAACCTTATGGTTATCAAAGTCTAAAATATATATTATTTGGTTCTTTCCAGGAAAATGTGGGGATACTTTTTTATATTTTTTAATTTTTTAATCATTTTTAGCATCTAAAAATAGCAGCTATTTATTAGATAATCAGTTTATGAGATTTATGAATCAGGAGTGGCTCAGGTGATTCTGGTTCAAGATTTCTCATGAAGTTGAAAACAAGTATCAGCTGGGGCTGCATCATCTGAAGTCTTGACTGAGGCTGGAGGGGATCCCTCTTTTAAGGTACTAAAAGTGGAAATATAATAAATAATAAATACACATAAAATGCATTTTTGTTCTTCTTATAATGAAACTGTTTTGTTGTTTTGTTTTGTTTTACTATGCTCAGATATGATCTCATTCAGTGTTCAAAATAAAAATCTCAGGAATATTGAGCAGTGGCCACAGGGTTGGCATGGTGTGCTGGGGCCTGGAGGAGGTGCTGCACGGAGGGGGGGTTGAGACAGCGGGAGACCGTGCCTGGCAGGTTTCTGAAACAGATCATGAACTTCAACGAGAGGATTCGGTTGGAAAACGAAGACCAACAGACTTTTTCTTCAGATCATAGGCAGGAGCCAGGCAGAGTCCAGGGATTCTTGAACCATCTGTCTTCCCTTTGGAGGACACTAAGATCTATTTGAAGACAAAGGCAGTTCAATATGGCAGCAGGACTGAAGGGACACAAAGGAGTTGTTACAGTGATTTGGTGACAGTTCTTCAAACAACAGTGTCTTAGGAAAGGTGGATCAAGAAACTCCTGAACTTTTGGGTTACATTAAAGAAAGAGAAATCAGCATGGCTCAGGCAAATCTCTTGGCTTGTGAAGGCCTAGCAGGTGTGAGTTTGGTTCCCACTGCAGCCAGCAAGAAGATGATGCTGAGCCAGATTGCCAGCAAGCAGGCCGAGAATGGAGAGCAGGCAGGTAGCCCTGATGTGCTGAGGTGCGAAAGTCAGGGCCACCAAAAAGACAGCAATAAGTCCTGGAGTCGCAAAGATGATGACAGCTTGGCTGAGGCCTCTCATTCAAAGAAGACTGTTAAAAAGGTGGTGGTAGTGGAACAGAATGGTTCTTTTCAAGTAAAGATTCCCAAAAATTTTATTTGTGAACACTGCTTTGGAGGCTTTAGGAGCAGTTACCACCTCAAGAGGCACATCCTCATTCATACTGGTGAGAAGCCATTTGAGTGTGATATATGCGATATGCGCTTCATCCAGAAGTACCACCTGGAGTGTCACAAGCATGTGCACGGTGGCGAAAAGCCCTACCAGTGTAAACGGTATCATCAGTGTTTTTCTCGGACAGATCGATTACTCAGACACAAACGGATGTGCCAAGGGTGCCAGTCCAAGACTTCCAACGGACAGTTTTCTCTATAGGCGCGAGGGGCCCTGGGTGGTGGGAGTGATCAGAAGAATTTACTGAAGAGCGCACCCCCTCTGGTCTGATGGTCCCACCACCACCCCGTCTGTACCTGTCCCCCTCCTGGAGGAGTGGACCCAGGAGACCAGAAGAGTGCATCAGGGGACAGCAGCCTCAGAGCCTCAGCTCTGTAAATAATCTGAGACTATGAGTATCTCGGGGAAGTTCCTACAGCATTCCTGGGTGGGGAAGCTTGTCCGTGGACCCTTGGCTGAGGTTAGAGGTGGAGACTGAAAGTACAGGACCAAGACTGGTGTGGCCCCCACAACCTTGGACTCCAGCTGGCAGCTGAAATGGAAAGGATTGGGGAGAGGGATTTGTTTGTTTGTTCTGTTCTTGTTTTTGTTTATTCAAAAGCAATTTTAGCAGTTACACTGTGGATACAGGTAATATGGAGGCATAGAACCCTGGTCAAAGCAGGGACAATGGCTAGCCCAGCCCTCCCCAGAATTGAGTTTTTAGTTGCAGTTGATCCTCAGTGTTCCACAGCCCTGCACCTCACCTTCTGTTTGAAGGAGAGGAGGATCAGGGATGGCAGCTGAGTTTACCTTGGTCTCCTTAGACACTGTAGGGACAGAAGGAAGAATGGTGGGAGGAGCCCACAAGGGCTGGGTCCAACTAACTAGAGTGGGCGGGTACCTCTTCCTTCCTCTGGGGAAGAGTGAGAGCTGTGCCCACGGCTGTTGCAACGGCCCGGGCCACCCTGGTACCTGATGGGGTCAGCTCAAGTGCCTTGTGGAGGGACCTTGGGTGAGAGCGGCCCACGGAGTCCTTCCATGCCCTCTTTGGGCACTCCATCTTGGAGATAGTGTGTGGCTACCTCGCTGCTGTTGACTCCTGATCCAGACAGGTTTTGAGCAGGTAGTCATGGATATCAAAGGGGGTTCTCTCTCCTTGTGCCCTCTTAGGAACAACCCGAGACTAGTCCCAAATTGAGCAACAACTGTTCAAGAAACAAAGGAGTTTGGTGTCCCCTGACACGACTGTTGAGCAGTGTGAGCTGCTCTCCCTGCCCAAGTCCTATCACTGTATTCAGGTAGAGGAGATAGGGGTGTGGCCTTTGGTTCCAAAGAATAAGATCTTCGCTTCCTTCTTAATGGCCATCCCTACCCAACAAAGAATTGGGAGGAGGGGGTGCTGCAGAGAAAGGACTGAGGAAGAAACCTATTGTAGGTTTTATTCTTAATCATATTCTTTGCTCCTCTCTGCCCCAACACCACCACCCTATCCACCCCCAAAAAAGTGATCAGGGGTATGTCTGTATGTGTGTGCGCTTGAGTGTGTTCATTGAAATGTGTGCTTGTGTTTGTATGCTTCTTGCATACATGGCATCTTATTGAGCCAAACCCTTCTCTGGCCCTCAACTCAGGGGAGGATGAGCATGAAACAGCCCCCCCCACCACCACCACCAAATCTGAGGGTGCTTGAGGTCCCAGCTGAGGAACTTGATTTAGGGGAGTGAAGGGCTTTGTTTTGGAGAGGTTTTTTTGGGGTTCATTCAACAGGCTGGTTAGGGTGTTTAATCCAAGCCAAAGCTTGTAAACATGAATTTTCTAAAGTGAAATAAAAAACCCTCTGCCTGCTATGGAAGGTTCTGGGGCTTGTTTGGCCTCCACTGTGGCCTGCCCTGACCTGTAGAGAGGAGTAATCATGGAATAATCATGGAGGCTTGGTGAACCTGACCACGCTGTCAGTGGGGATCTAAGATGGCAGCTCTAGGCAGTGTAACTTCATTTCCTAGATGTAGGAACAGCAGCAGAAAGCTCCTGGCTGTTAGGTATGCGGGAGGGGGGTGGGGGACTCTATACCTCTGAAATGTGAGGATTTGAGGGAAAGAAAGGTATGGCACCCTTCAGACTTGCCCTGACGGCTCCTGAGGTCCTTTGGCAGAGACACTGGGCAGTGTTTGCTGCCTGTGCTCCTGTGGCTTTATGCTGGCACCTGCAATTGCTACGGCCCAGGGCCTAGACCTCAGTCCCTAAAGCTGCCCTGTGGTCCCCACAAGCTGGGTATCCCGTGTGTGAGTGAGCCCCTTGCCTGTTAGAGACCTCTGCTGGGGCTGGAATTTATCATTCACCTCTGGGAATATATTCCTTGAAGGAAGCTACATTTAGAAAGCTTCTCCCGTGAGCACTTTTGAAAATAGGAGGCTTCATTCCCTGCCACTTGCAGCCAATCTGTTTAGGGTCGGAGTGTGTGTGGCGAGAATCCCGAGTGACCTATGCCCCTACATGTGCGGATGTGTGCTTAGGTCACAGTGTGCCGTGGCCCCCCACAGCCTCAGCCTCCTGCCGGGGTGGGAGGGAGAGGAAATTTGTGAGCAGATGTGGAAAGAGCCATACCGGAAGCACCCCTGCCAAGGATTGGGTGTGGAGGCAACTCAGGAGCAGGTAGGTGGTTAGTTCAGTCGTCCAGGTGCTGAGGTTCTGGGGCCAAGGATGTGTGAGGAGAGAGGAGCAAAAAGATGAAAGGAGTGATTCAGCCTCCCAGAGGGCCCAGAAGCCCCACTTACACCCCAGGGAAACCACAGACAAAGAGCGCTGCAGAGGCTTCTGGGCCCAACGCCCCAGCCCTCCTCAGCTGGTGGGGTCTAGCACTGGACAGATGCCTCAGGTGCCTTTGGAGTGAAGGGAAAGGGAGCTAGGGCAGGCTCTCAGAGACCAGGATGTGGAATATGGGGACCTGGGAAAGAGTAGCATCAGTTCTGTGGGGCCCTTGTACTGGGCCCTACCAACCCTGCCCTTCCCTGCACCCCAACTCTTCTCCATCCACCCCCCCCAACAGCCTCTTTCATCACATAGCTACTGATTGTGTCCTATGGCTTGACATCGGAGGGTTAGATGAGATGTGGGGGGTCCCGCCACAACTTCCAACCCTCTTCCCAGATGCTCTTTGCCTCTGCTGCAGTCCTGGGGCTTTTATCTTAACAATCCCTCCCAACTCTTCCTCTCTGCCCTCTCCCTCCCTCTCTCTCTTTTTTTTTAATATACTTATTTTACTATTGGGGGAGGGGAATATCAAATGAACAAGATAACTTTTAAATGGTAGTTTTTATAAGATGTTATAAACTTGTATCTTTTTACCATTAAAGTGCAGTGTATGTTCCTTCATGATATATTTAGGATATTTAAATAAAAAGAAAATGGGGCTTTTCTAAAAAAAAAAAAATCTCAGGAATATTGCTGCTTCTCCAGAACAGTTTAACAGTGATAACCATTTGGCATAGTTTAGTAATCAGTAATGGATCACCAGAATAAATGCTGTCAGATATCAGTTGATCCCTGCAGGGGGAAGGGGTAAAGAAAGATGTCACAGGTGATATGAGTTAGAGGGAAGACTTTGATGTACAATTATTGATGAGAGCCCAGTACATGAGAGTTGGTACAAAGAAAAATCAATACCTTTTTTTGTTCCAGATCCTTCTCTCTTTCCCTTTCTTGCTAATGTTGGAAGAGAAAGTATGAACACAGAGTAAGAGAAATTAAGTCAATATATTTCCTAATTATGTGCAGGTGATGGGATTTAAGTTGCTTTAAGTATGTTTCTGATATTACCAAAGGGAATCCAAGAATGAACTATTCAAAAGCTAGGACAATAAGCTGTGATGGTCTCTGGGGAATGTCCAATCTGATAAATAGGCCCTTTCTTGGTTTAGCTTCTTTTGCTAGCTTTCAGCCTTTCCTTGTTATTCCCCAAAGGGGTAATCCCTCTGTTCTTTTGAAATGAGATAGAGATTTTTTTTTTCTATGACACATGAATCTTTTCTGGTGAATTCTGGAATTCTTCACAGACAGATCTAAAGTATGGAAAGAAGGCAGTATGCCATAGTGGCAAGAACATGAGTTTTGGAGATCCATAATTCCAGGTTCGAATCCAGGCTTCACAAATCATTTGCTGTGTGTATCTGGGCAACAAATTTTAACCTTTCTGTGCATCACTTTTCTATATAGTATGGACAAAAGTGGAAACATAGTTGACACATAATATATGCTTTTTTTGTTCTTTTTATAATGCAAATGCATTATTTTACTATGTTCAGAGATGATCTCATTCAGCATTCAAAATAAAAATCCCAGGAATATCACTGCTTCCCCAGAACAGTTTAACAGTGATAACCATTTGTTGAGAACATAATGCATCCAAGATATTGTGCCAAGCTCTGAAATTACAAAGATGAATATCATAAGTGATCAAAAAAAACTCTTTAATATGAGGAATTAAAGATTTTAACCGTTACATCTACTGGGATTTAGGATTAGACCACATTTTATCCAGTATTTTCTGAAATAAGAATGTAAACAACTGGGGCACGTGGGTGGCTCAGTTGGTTAAGCATCTTCAGCTCAGATCATGATCCTGGAGTCCCAGAATCTAGTCCCGCATAGGGCTCCCTGCTCAGCGTAGTCTGCTTTTCCCTCTGCCTCTGTCCCTCCCCCCCACTTGTGCTCTCTCATTCACTCTCTCTCTCTCAAATAAATAATATAAATAGATATTATTATTATTTATTTGAGAGAGAGAACGACCGAGAGAGAGAGAGAACATGAGCAGGGGGAGGGGCAAAGGCAGAGGGAGAAGCAAGCTCCATGCTGAGCAAGGATCACAACCTGAGCCAAAGGCAGATGCTTAACCAACAGAGCCACCCAGGTGCCTCAAATAAATAATACCTAAAAAAATGTAAATGACTGACATCCATCAAGTGTTGACTGAGTGCCTAATTCTAAGCACTTTACATACATTTGTTTATTTCTGAGTTCCCTGTGGAGTCCATGATTGTGGTGTAAGTACACCATAGTGGGCTGTACTTTTGCTACTGAGAATCAGGTCCCCATATCAATGGCTAAGGCCAATCTATTTTCAATAGACTAAAACCACCCTTTCATTCTAGGTATTTTTAAAGATTTGAATTTAACATTTCATTTCATTTTATTTATTTATTTACTTATTTTTAAAGATTTTA